AAATAAATACAACAACATTAAAAATCTTACTGTTCAAAAACTTTTGACTGGTAGTGTAGGCTGATTATTCTTGTAGATTGAAACAAATGTGCTTCAGCCAGGATAAAGAATATGAAAAGTGCTCTGAGTTGCAAACGCCACAAATAAATCAATGTATGGGAAACACTGTATATTGAAATATCGGAAATGTGTTTAAAAATCATATCACCGTTATTGAAAAAAATTATATCGCGATACATATTGATATCGAATTATTGTCCAGCCCTAGTTGCTTGACATATTTCCCCATAATGTCATTTTGAGGTTTATTATATCCTTTTCTGCATTCCACTGGTTAAACTAATGTTTGAATTACAAAAAAACGTGTTGCGTTAAAGGAAGTGTTTGTGTGAGCAGTTAGAGGAACTTCCTACTAATTCACCCAACAGAACAATCGGCGGCTTTTTCAGTCTTGCTGCAACACTACAATGGCATGCAGTTTCACTGGACAGTTTATCAGTTAAGTCTTGCTTGAAACAATAACACCGAAGGCCCAATGACTGAGTCAGGACATTCTGAATAAATAAAACTATTTGAGATGAACGAAAAACTAACGCAACATGTGTCTTATTTTAGATTGTGTCGTTGATGACGCCCAATCTATCCGAGATAATACTTCAAGGTTCCTGAACACAAACCAGCATTTATCATGTTTCAACACAAAACAATCTTGAACAGGAAAACAAATACACACATATACGTTTGAAATTCCAATCTTCTTACTGCAAACTAAAGTCAGCCCTGATTCTTTTATTCTGTAAGCAAAGGGATCTAATAACAGGGCAGATAATGAGATAAAGCAAAAAATACTTTGTTAGATATGTAATATCAATATGTCGGCCCCAACGAATAGAAACACCTTATTGTTGAGCCCTGCAATCATAAATGCAGTTCAAGCTCGATTAAACATGGATGAATGAAGATCTTTTCCCTCAAATACCCAGAGAGCATCACTGAAGAGGAGCGTGCTGTGACTGATGAAGACCATGTGAGAGTCACAACCAGCATCAGACACTGATATGGAAGCTGGTCCATAATGATTTTTATTGTAAATCAGGTTACAAACCACTTCTAGCAGAGCACTGAGAACTAACAAAATTACAAAACAACTATTTTAATGTTATTCTCATTTCCAGAACACATGGTTACAAGGAAGTACATTTTACAGCAAGGACGAATACCAACATAATTATTTTTTTTGTTATCTGTTAAGTAGTTAAAAGGTTCATATATAAATAGAAAGCAAAAATATTTATTCCGCACTCTTTAGAGAACACTTGAAGGTCAAAGATCTTAAGCACTTCCTGTTCACATGCACGTGGCACAGAAATCTAATTCGTCCATTATCATCGACTTTCTTATTTTCTAGAGAAAAAATAATAGAAAACAAGCCTTAGCACAGATAATACTCAATTCAGATCATGCCATGCTAAGGTAGACCTTCATATTACATAAAATACCAAAGTATATGCATTTCCGCCAACTCAATTATCTGCAAGGTGACTGTCTATGGATCTTTCTAGATTTAACCACATAAGTAATGTGCATGTAAACTTATTTATTAACCCAAAGCATGGCATGAAGTTCATCGGAAGTGCGTGACATTATCATTGAGCTGTCACATTGCAGGCCGTCCTGCTAATTCATAAAAAATAAAACGCAATGGCGTATTGAAACGCAAAGTAACGTTACTTACTTTGAAATGGCAAAACTGCTCCTTTAAATTATTCTTCCTCTTTTGTGAGTTTAGTTGTCAGTACCTGAAAATGCGAATTTGGGAATCTTTAATGTCGTCCACATGCGCTCGCTCGCCACAGCACCGATGAGTCTGCACGCACACACTACACGCAGATGCGCGCGGAACTCAACGTCACTTCCTGGCTTGCTGACTTCCTGGGCGCTGCTGCCATAGATGTGTATAGATGCCCCGTTCGGGGCTTCTAGTGCAGGTCAGTTTCTTCTTCTTTTTTCCAGTTTAACGGCGGTTGGCATCCAGCTTATTGGTGCATTACCGCCCCCTTCTGCTCCGGAGTGTGGATCAGATAATAGGTTATCTATTCCCTTTTCCCACTAAAACTTACACATCACTCACATTGTCCCCTCACATTAATATCCACACACACACCACACATCATACATCAAATCCTGCTTAAAACCCCTGCTTCCCTTAAAAAAGTAATCAATAAAATTCCGTCCTTTCGCTTCCAGCGTGTTCAGTCTACCCGACAAGTGAAGCGGCTCTTTTTTCGTAGTCACTGCGCAGATCGCAGGTCAGTTTCATCTGTAAATACTCGTTTTGTCTTTATTAAGGTAGTTAAGTGTTAAACTGCTAGTATCTGTTAGGCTATCAGTAGCACCATTCAGAATACTGTGCTAAAGGACATCAATATCGATTGTAAAGTTACATAAATTTTTTTTTAGCAGAGATAGATATTCACATGGATTTATTGTACAGGGAGGGAGGGAGCTAGAGCAGACAGCAACACAAAAGTAATAGCCTATGAGTAACAGGCTCACAGCCTAATAATTCAATAGTGTATTAGACTTTTTCAACAAATATATTGTACTAATTTTGACATTTAGGCACTTTAGAATTTGTGTTTTAATACCCTACCAGTCAAAAGGTTTTGATCAGTAAGATTTTTCATGTTTTTTTTTAAAGAAGTCTCTTCTGCTTACCAAGCCTGCATTTATTTGATCCAAAATACAGCAAAAACAGTAATATTGTGAAATATTTTTTATTAAAAGGTCATTTATTCCTGTGATGTAAAGCTGAATTTTCAGCATCATTACTCCAGTCTTCAGTGTCACATGATCCTTCCGATATCATTCTAATATACTGATTTGCTGCTCAAAAAACATTTATTATTATTATTATGTTGAAAACAGATTCGATTTTTTTTCAGGTTTCTTTGATGAATAGAACGTTCAGAAGAACAGCATGTATCTGAAATCTGAAATATACTGACACCAAACTTTTGGTATAGTCCATGGGTAATGTTACAAAACTTTTTATTTCAGATAAATGCTGATCTTTGGATCTTTTTATTCATCAAAGAATCCTGATGTACTCAACTGTTTTAAATATTGATAATAGTAATAATAACAAATATTTTTCTTGAACAGCAAATGGGCATATTAGAATGATTTCTGAAGGATCATGTGACACTGAAGACTGGCATAATGATGCTGAAAATTCAGCTTTGC